TCACGCCTCTTGCCACAAAAAAGGTCCTCTCACCTGCCACTCGCCATTCATAACTATGTTTTCAACTAGGGGTTCACTTTTTTCGTTTGTCATTTCACCGCCCGCCACTCGTCACGCCTCTTGCCACAAAAAAGGTCCTCTCACCTGCCACTCGCCATTCATAAGTATGTTTTCAACTAGGGGTAAGGTCTGCGTACAACACCCCAAACCCCACGTTGTGGCATTTTATTGGTCTGTTTTCGCTCTTGGTTTAACTCAAGAAGGATTTGATGATGTAATTAAAAAATTGAAACATGAAAAAACTGATCAGGTTTTGAATCTCAAGATGTTCAAGCTAAAATATTTCAGTTGAAGAAGAATTTTTCTTTACCGCTGCACAAAATGCATGAACTGAGGAAGGATACAAATCGTTAAAGAAGATGATATGCAAAAGAAGACGTCACAGCAAATCCTGGAAGGGATCATCAGAATGGAAAAATTACAGGCATTGATTAGGTTTGTAGTGAGCTTATGGTCGATCCATAGTTCAACTTTTATGACTAAATTAGCCCGTAATGTAAATAAATTTATGAAAACAAGAGGCGTATGTCTCACGTCCATCTTAGGTCGTAAGCCTGGAGGCATGTGCATCTGTGATAAAGAAGAAGGCGCTTTGATGACGATGGCACATATCACAAAAAGTATTGAGGCATAAATACTAAATATTCAAAAAACTGTTGAGTCGCACCATAAGGTGGGTTTCAGCCATGCAATTTTGAACATTGCTATTAACACTTATGCCTTGAGGCTTATCTTAAGTTTAATTGCTAGAAAATGGATGTGAGGATTCTGCGTATCCATGCACGGCTAATGCCACACTGAGTCACCGTGGTGTGACTTATACCCTGAGGAATATTTCTCATGAGGCTTATCCACATATGGGGCTTACACCTAAATATTCTAGAAAGGTGGATGCTTTTGCCTCCAAATTTTTGTTGTTTTTATGTAGTTTGTTAAGATTTGATTTTCATTTTGAAAAAAAGACACTTCTAGTGTTGAGGGCAAAGTTTATTCCAGGTAAAACTCTAAGGCTCCAAATGGCTGTTATGGACTCATTTTTTTGTTCTCTAATCAATTAGTTATCTTTACAAAATTGAGAATGCCCCAAATAATATAATATGCTTATTCATCATTTTGCGCCTAGCCCAATGTGTGAACCAAACAGTACCTCAAAGGTCTGGAATGGGAAATGATGTTAATTTAGGAATATAGAAATATTCTTGATACATTGTTACTGTCATACCGGAATACTAATGTACTTAGGATACAATTTCTTGCATTTTGTCTCAAATTTTGTTTAGAGGAACGATCGTGTTGATAATGTTGATTTGATACTTTTTCCCATGTTACAGGTTGATAAGTTACAAACTTGCAAGATCATTTACTAACCTTTTCATTATAAACCTGTATTATCCTAAAAATTAATGCTCTGCATGTTTTTGAATCTCAGTTGTCCTTTCATCATTGCAGTCAATAGGAGACTCGATGAATGGGTTAAGCTTGAACAGCTTAATCTTGATTCCGTGGAGACAGTTGTGGATGAGAAGGTGGAGGACAAGGTGATCTTTGGAATTTCTTCTTTGTTACAGTTTCCAATAGCCTTTAACTTTAATCTCTTCCCATCTTTTCCAGCAAAAAAAAATGAAGATAATAAATAGAGTTGATATATGGTCTAATTTAAAGAATGCTTTTTCTTTTGGTGCATAGGCAACTGATTTTTCTTAAAAGTTTCTGCCTCCTGTTAGTAATTTTTTATTGCCTTTCCTTTCATGGTCTCGCTTTGGAGTTTCTTACTGAATCTTTTCAGGTGACGAGCTTAAAAATGACACGCCATCAAAAGCGTAAAATTGACGAGACACAAGTAGAGGTAATTGATTTTTTCGATTCCAGTGCTGCATTGGCTACGAGTTTGTATTGCTATTTACTCCCTCCGGTCCTATTTATAAGGCACTTCTAGCAACTTCATCACTGCGAAATACAAAGAAAGTATTTAAAGTAAAAAAACATAGCTACTTCTTTCTATCCATAATGATATGACATTAAGCTTTTTATTCTTTTCCTTTATCTTAATGATATGACTTAAAGCAATGGTATTTTGGTGTTTTTTCATTGAAATAAGTGCAATTTCTTATAAAAGGGACCAACCAATGCTTCTAGAACGACCCTCATAAATGGTGTTTAGCACTTTCTAGATTAGCTAGGTTTAGTTGAGTGTTGTTAGGTTGCCCATTTGTTTGTGGATACTTTTTTCCCTCTCTTTTTTATTGGTATACCCATCATCAATATCTGTAATATTATTATTACTATTAATACTAATATTATTAACATTGTTAATACTAATAATAATAATAATAATAATAATAATAATATTATTATTATTATTATTAATATTATTATTACTATGTGCTGGTGGTAGCATTGGCATTATGTGCATTGATATGAACAGTAGCACTGATTGGTGAGGGTGTCGATGTTGGAAGTGTCAGTGATGTCAGTGTGGAGGGTGGTATAATAGAACTCGGTGTGCCATTTATTGTTAAAGATTGATCTTTTTATTGATTTTCTCGGCCGAGAATAATTATGAATTTTGCTTCTCCTTGAAAAATAACAGAAATGATGAATTCTGTAAGGGTAGGACAGAAAGTGGCAGGTCAGACCAATTGATAGGGGAGTAAGGGGTATACATAGAATTGAGGAAGTTTGTATTGATGGTGGAATGAGCAAAATAAACAGGAGGAAGCAAGAGTTTTCAAGGAAACTCCAGCAAGACAACCTGCCCAGCAGAATAATTCTGCCCATTAGCTATTTTATTCTTAATAAAACTTGTTCTCCTTTCATACTTCGAGGTGGTCATAAAATAAAAAGTAATCAGTTAAATATCTATCTAGGACTAACCAATATGTACAATCATGCTCAAAACCAAAACCTTTGCTAATAAGGTCTGTATTATGTTCCGTAATACTTGTGATTAACTTTCCTCGTTTTCCATCAGTTTGCTTGGCTTTATTACCCTTTTAATGATCAACACCTTAGCTATAATTGAATCTAGTTGTTCTCCTTAATGGTTGTGGCATTGTCTGCATGCTCCCATTCTTCACGAGACGGCTCTTGAGTCTTGAGCAATTCCTTTTGTATTGTACCTGGTCGAGCTCCACCTTGCTTTCCTGATTCTGATGAGATAGTGGCTTCTATGATTCTCGATTCCTTCTTAATTCACATTAATCTATTTAACATATTAGATGAAATGGACTTCATTCTGTAACATATCCGAGAGAAGATGTTGGTGTGATTGCTGCATCCGTTCCTTATTCCCATTGAAAAAGGAACTGTTCTGTCAATGCATATGCAACCGTAGTGTCCATTGAATGTGATATGCTATTGGAGTGAGCTGACTTGCTTATATTAATTAATACCTCTGTAAAGAATTTTACACTTTGACCTCACAGAGTTTAAGAAAAAGGTTGAAAAGTGAAAAGTGGGTGGTTGGAATATATTTAAAAGAGAGAAATATTTTGAACTACATATTCATTTCATAAAATAAAGAATGAAAGAAGTGAAAACCTTATTTTGGAACAGAGAGAAGGGTAGCATAAACTTCATTGCGGGATGGAGGGAGTACATTATTATGATTTATAAATAAACCACATTATTCAAAACTGATGACCCAAAATGATGTTGGCTTGTTCTTTTACTTGTACTCTTCTAAAACTCCATTTAGCTGTTTTTTTTCCTTTTGACAGTATCTGATGTACAAGAGAGGTGAACCTTTTGGCCTTCTAAGCAAGGTTGCCATTTTTTTCAGGGTCATGAAGAACTTGATGCTGCTAGCCTGCGAGAGCATGAAGAGTTCACAAAGGTTAAGAATATCGCAACAATTGAACTTGGGCGGTATGAGATCGAGACATGGTATTTCTCCCCATTCCCCCCAGAATACAATGATTGTACGAAGCTGTTCTTCTGTGAATTTTGCCTCAATTTCATGAAGCGAAAAGAACAACTTCAGAGGCATATGGTGAGCTTATTGGGTCATGCCTATTTGACTGCAATTAAATACTAGTAATTAGTTGTGGTTGGTTAAGATTATTATTGTTTTCAAGTTCAAAGATAGTAATTTATACACCCAAAATTGTTCAGATGCTACTGTGACCTGTGGATGTATTTCATGTACCATTGTCCGCAATAACAATACCTTTCTAACTGTATATTAAACATATGAAGGGATTTGATTTAATTTTACCCTGTGTGTGTAGTTTTTAAGCTTGTTGTATCACTTAGGGTTGTTAATCTGGGCTACAAATTTCTTGCAACCAATCTGTTATCTCCTTTTCTTTTCATCGCTAAATTAAGTTTCCCAAAGTAAATAGACAACTTCATGTAACCTATCCTTTTATTTACCCCTTTATTCCTTGAATTCTATGGGGTATGTATCCGGTTAAGCATCTAATTTAAGATTGTCAACACACAACTTGCTATGTGTTTCTTGTGGGAGTCAAATTGATCTATTGAGGTGGAAAGTATGCTCGATAGTTGTTTCTTATTATTGATTGAATTTTATGTAGTAAATACAAAATAGAACAATAATGTAGAGCGTAATTCCAAATCACTAGAGTTGGCTACATGAATGTGAGATGATATGCCAAAGTCATCAAACCGTATTTTCATCTCCCCCTATTCAGATCTCCAGTATTCCAGTTCTCCTCTATCAGTATTCACACACTCTCCTTTCAACTCTAAACATGCCAAAACCTATGTAGTCAGTTTGGACTAACCTTCATCAATAGCTGCCACAGCCCACAGCTATGTTCATGTGATTATTTTCTTTCCGAGCTATATATTCTGTAGTCTTACTACATATCTATCCTAACATGCATCTCTGCTATATTTGTCATCATACAATCTATTTGATAGTCCACCATCCTGATCCATATGATAAAATAGCTGTAATTTAAAATTTGCTATACCGTCTTAGGAGCCCATGTTGATGTGTTTCTGTAGTGGTGTTAGATATGCACTCGAGATACTGAATAGAGTCCTAGACGTATCCTATATTATTATGGATGACTAACACAATTTAATATGATAGATTGCAGTGTTAAAAGCAATACACATTCTCTAGCCATTTTTGTAATTTTTCTTCAGTAATGTAATTGGTCACCAAATGAGCATATAGTGAATTGACCTTCATTTGTTTGTTATGTAGAGAAAATGTGATCTGAAGCACCCTCCTGGAGATGAGATTTATCGAAGTGGTACCCTATCAATGTTTGAGGTTTGTTTTCATACTTAGTGCTTTTAGTTGTGCTAGAACTAATTTTCTTTAACTATGAGAGTCAGTTTTAGTGTTTTACATATATGGGCAACTTTCCTTATTCTGTTGTTTCTTGCATCTTTTTGTCATTGCCGTTTATTTTTGGGCATGCAGTTTTCCCTTACATATGTTGTAAAGTACTTTAACATGCCTGATTTTATGCATTTTTTACTCACTTTGTCTTTAGGATTTGTAGGAGTTTATTATGTGTTGTACTAATGTTCTGACATGGAATGACCTCATTAGGTTGATGGAAAAAAGAATAAAGTTTATGGACAGAATCTTTGCTATCTGGCCAAGTTATTTCTTGACCACAAGACCCTCTACTATGATGTTGATCTCTTCCTGTTTTATGTACTTTGTGAATGTGATGATCGTGGGTGCCATATGGTGGGCTATTTTTCAAAGGTAACTACTCATTTCCTGAAGATCTACTCTTCTCAAAGGTATCGCTGTTTTTTTCTTTGGTGTTCTTAAAATCCCTTCTTAGCTTTGCCCTAGGTGCTTGACCATCCTTGACTGCTTCATATCTTTATAAATTTGTAGTACCTATTTCGCTGAGTATTTGTCCTGTTTTGACTTTTTGTAGTCAAAATTGACAAACTTTGACCACTGTGGAATAAAGGGGTAAATAAAAGGATAAGTTATATGAGCGTATAGTTGTATTTATATATATATCTATTATAAACAAGTCAAAGCTGGACAAATAATCAGGGATGTAGGTAGTATATGCTTATTGCTAGACCTTAGTTGCACCACTTGAGGCCATTTAATGTTATGTAGAACCTTGGCTTCTTGTGTTTGCTTACCTGCCCTTTTAAGTCCTTTTTATCTATAGGAAAATGACACTTTGAGTCGTAGAGTTATACCCTATCTAAACATTTGCTCCTTGCTTAGCTAACCATTCTATTTTTGGCCTCCCACAATTCCTTAGGGGAGCTTTTGTGGTATGTTAGGGTTTCTTGACTACCATCAAAATTTGGACACAATGTGGTACATTAAGTCCTTGATGTGGATGAAATGATATATGAACTTCCATTGTTTAATTGTCTAAAGGTTTTATACATTAGTACAACTAATATTGAGTACATCGAATAGAATTTCATCGGTATAAAACAACAACCTAGTCGGATCACACGAAAGCAGGGTCTGGGGAGGGTGTGTGTACACAGACCTTGCCCCTACTCGAAATTAGAGAGGCTGTTTTCAAGAGACCTCTGGCCTAAGCTGCACGGATAAAAAGATCACAAAAGATTTATAAAGCAGAGTAAGCACAGATAAAACACTAAGCACCCAGAGGTAAAGAACAAACTAATGTTAAAGAACAAATCGCACCAAGCATACAAGGCACACTAAGCACACAACAAGTACATAAAACTACCTACCTAACTAATCTAATCCTAGCTCTCCATACGCTCATATCTCTTTATATAAATAGAGATATATAAATAAAATTAGTTAGAATAGATATTTAAAAATGATTTAGGGCCTTCTTATATAAGTATATTTATCTGCTTATGCACACATTTTTTACCAAACACCACTTCATTTTATTATGTAAGCTGAATCACTTGTACAATAACATTTTTAAAAAGCAGAGCTGCAGAGTAGAAATTTCTCTACTTAGGTGAAATTGCTAGAATTAATAATAATGACACTCCAACTTCCATTTGAAGTTATTTTTCTTTATTTTATTTAAAAAAATTCCAAAACAAATATTTTACATAATTTAGTTAGCTAGCCAATTCAACATTCATCCACTGCTTTAACAGTGCCAACAACTTCAGCCATTTTATACCTTACCAAACAGCATTTTATTGAGTTTGAACTATTTCTATTTTATTTTTCTCCAAATTTTCTTTCATTCCGAATTCCACCTCAAATTTTAGTATATTCTTTCTTTAGCATTTTCCGGATTCCAAATGGACCATAACAAGAGCAACAAAGAAAACTAAACAGACCTCAGGAAATGTTAATGATGCAGAACTAAGTTTTTTTCTGCTGGCAAAGATGATTGCTGATACAGCCTCACTCGAATTCGTTGCCAACAGCAGGGCACTGAATGAGATGAGGAAAGTCAGGATCTATGTGGCACTAGAGTAATTATCGACTGCATCTACAAGGGGATTGGCAAAAGCAGCAGCAATGGCAGTCCCCAGCAACAAGAAAAATACAACCTTGATTGAGGACCATTTGGGATTCTCAATTTGCTCATCACCTTCATCACATTTATTCCCCCCAGCGTTTAGTAGATAATGATCCGTCCTTGTTGCTCGTGATAATCATCAAGATATTTAAATGTTCCTGGTGTAGCTCTGGAAGCTTGGATCTCAGCAAACCATTTACCAACCCCAGAAACATTCTTATATTGATCTGCAATTCATCCCCAAAACGGATAGAATACGTTAACTTTGGGTCTATTTTTGAAGATTATGATGAGATTTATTGGGATGCCATCCATCGTATCAGAGCGGACTGGATAAAATGTAGCGTTGCTTCAGGCATGTGCGACAAGAAAGTGTCAGTGAAACTGAGACAGGCTATGAGCCTATGCTGTATATGGCAGTGTTGGTCGATGAAGAACACCGATCTGCAGAAGACATGAGTGACAAAAATGAGGATGCTAAGGTGGATGTGCATACTGCAGACATACGAGGAGGGATAGACTTCAAAACAAAGCTATTCAAAACAGGATGGCAATGGCAACCCTGGAGGACAGAATGGGCAAAACTAGATTGGGGTTGTTTGGGCACACTTGTTTGAGGAATGGGTGCGAGAGGCTGGAAGCAGGGAATTTGAGAATGAGTAGAGGTAGACAAAAGAAGAGTTTCAAGTTGACTAGTCAAGCCGTGTGGTTCGTCCACTACATGATGCTAGATAGGAGCGTCTCGAGGTCGAGGATTAAAGATGTAGAGTAAGCCTATATAGGAGTTACGCTCTATGCTTTGGACCTTTAGAATTAGTTAGGTAAAATATATTGGGGTATTTGCTTTGTACCCCTTTTTAATTCTTAGAACTTTCTGTCTCTCTCTAATTGGTTTATCTTTACATGTTAAACTCTACTACGTACTAACCTGTGTCTTTTGTGTGTGAGCCAAGGGTCTTTCAAAATAACCCTCTAGCCTTTCTAGGTAGGGTAAAGGTTTGTGTACGAGTGTATCCCCACTCCCACAGACCCTACTTTTGGAATTTTATTGCCCAGGTTGTTGTTTTTGTTAATGATAATATGATATAGGATCTTGCATGGACCAGCGGAATTCCTAAGCGGCATGAATGGAAATTTGAACTGACATTGTTTTCTTACAGATACACACATAGCTATGAAAGGCGAGCGCCATGCTCGCCTATGGCGTTCATGGCACTGTGGTGAGGGTATAGCACCTGAAATAGGCTGAGAATGGCGAGGTGCTGGAGGCGTTGAACGGCGTTCGCCAATTTCACTGCAACTTATGGCGAATGGCATTCACAACTCTAGCCTTGACGATATCGGTCTATTTTTTTCACTGTTCCCCCTTAATCGAATGGTAGTAATTTAATTGGGCTTGACCTCGTTTGTAATTAATCTGATCCATTACCGTAAGCCCATCGTTTTCCCTATCAATCGCCATAGCAGTCTTCCACTCCCGATTTTCTCTTCCAAATTTTAATCTTCCATCGATTCGCCTTCCCAGCTGCGATGCTGCTCCAATCGCTTTTCTGGAGTCGCCGTTTCCAGCAGACGGTTTGGATCTCCTCCAGCACTCCAATAGTCAGCACCGCAGCGTCAGGTCACAAAAATTTAGCACATTATTCTTATTTAGTTTTTTTATTTGTGTTTTATACAATTAATTATATTTTCAAATTGTGTATTATTCTTTCAATTTAGAAAATAATAATTTTCACATCCACTGTATTATTTATTGTGTATTATGATTTAATATATATTCCGTATATTATATTGTCTATTATTGTATAACCGTTCTCCCCCAGGCCCCAATGGAAGGTATGTCCTCCACTGGCTCCACAAGATGTAGAAATGATCCGGCTTGTTTTTGTTTTCCTTTGACAATTATATACTGTTCAACACTTTATGATATGCCATGCATTATATATATACATACATTCACTTTTATTGTTCGCCATTTCACCGCCCGGCGCCCGCTAGTCGCCATGCCTCATGCCACAAAAAGGTCCTCTCGCCCGCCCCTCGCCATTCATAACTATGGATACATATCCAACTCGTTTGGTTTAGTCTGGCATTGAGTTTCTCAAATGCATAGTAGCTCTTTCTTGTGACCTGGTCTTGGTGAAGCGAAACTGTCTATACTTAAGACATTAAGACCCTGCTGGGCTAGGGCTGGTATAGGCTAACCCAGGTTTCTGGAACTGGCTAGCAGTGTCATAATATTACACCGGTCTATTTGGAGGCCATATAGTTCTTTATTCGACTCCGAAGTGGTTCTTATTTCCTCTAATCCGTCGGTGAGGTTTGAACCACTTTGGGGTTTGAATGGATCTGCAGGGTCCTTAAATGGACCCGGTGTCATATTATGACACTAGTGGCTAGTGTCAAAACTCAAAAGAACCCCACTGATAATTAACACTATGTTGAGTTATATTGCATAAACGGGAAATTGACAGAACATATCCTTATGTCCTATTTTATTTGTTCCTAAACATATAAAGCTAGTCACTAAGCTGAATAATGCAAACACATGGACTTTCGAGAATGTTATATGTTAGTTTTTGAATTTACATCTCTTTTTGTGTGAAGCCTTGAGGCTGATTTGGCTTTGTTTCTCTTTTTGGTCGATTCTGTTCTCTGAGTAAGTTGTTTCGGGAACAGAACTCGCAACAAATGCTTTTGTAGGAGCTACAGAGTCTAAGAAACTATGTTCAACTCATTTGAAACGAATATGTTGGCAAAATTAAATGATTTTGTAGAATCAAGCAGAACCAAGTAGTTGATTACTTCTGAAAATCAGATTCTAGAAAGCAGAATCAGCAACATATTCTTTTCAGAATCTAAAACAAATGCAACACTTAACTAATTCTGGTATGAGAACCTTCAGATTCAACGGAATCAGCTTTTCAGAGTTGAAGCCAAGTGGCTCCATATATTAGTTTTGGAGGAAACAAATGCTAGATACAGTTTATGTTATGAATAATTTCTCACCCTTAATCACAGGAGTTGGTAAATATGGCCCATGAGATTGTTTTAATGTTTAGAATAAAAGTGTCACCAGTATAATCATTATCATGTTGGCTGACTCACTGAAATGAAATAGTGAGTGGAATATGAGATGCTTAAGGCCTGCTGAATTATACTAGTCATGATATAGAACATAAATGTTTACTTATTATTGCATATTTATATGCAATTTCAGGAAAAGCATTACGAAAAATCAAACATGTTAGCTTGTAGCCTAACTCTCACCTTTTCTCATTTTATGTTTGATGTTTCAGGAAAAGCATTCTGAGGAGTCCTATAATTTGGCATGTATTCTTACTCTGCCACCATATCAGAGAAAAGGCTATGGGAAATTTTTAATTGCATTCTGTAAGAACTAAAAATTCTTGGGTTTCTGTTGCATTCTCCATTCTTCTGCCTTGTTATTAATACTTCCTGGTCATGAAAGCATCATTCATGTTCCAAGCATGACGATGGAAATATCGTTATTGCTTCCCCTGAAGCGTCCTTTCTAGCTCTGGCTCCAAACAATCTGTTAATAGCCTTTAATATTACTCTCTCCGTCCCCAATTTATGCTCTTTACTATACCAGGCTTCCAATAACTTTTGTTTCCATACGCGTTTTGATTGATCATTTGAAAAAAAATAGACATGTCACCACTTGTTTTGTAGAACTTTTGATGTAGTTTGTAAATATGTAACTTGTACTTATTCTTATACCCATTCGTACATAAAATCATTTTAAAAGAGTAAGACTTTGCATGTTGTTCGAAAAGGTGCGATAAATTTGGGACGAAGGGCGTATTTGGGCTGTCATGTCTTGGGGTTGTGTGCAGTTATGGGAACTTGTTGGGGATTAAATACCGTATGTATTATATGTTACTCCCTCAATTCCAATTTGTAGTACCCGGTTAGACTTGGCACAAAGATTAATAAATTAAAGATGTGGTTGAGATTTATGTAGATGATAGAGAAACATTACAAACTACATAATGTTTGCCATAAACGGAAACAAGCAACAAACTGGGGTAAATCAATCAGGAAATCAGGTACAACAAATTGGGACGGAGGGACTATATATTAATTCCAGACATCTCAATATGTTTGTTCACTTCTTTACTAGGAATGTTGTATCATTTTTTTCATTTGTCATTAATTTTTGTAAAAAAAAAAAAGAAAACTGCTTCAGGACTAGGTGGTTGTATTGGGCAACAATTTCGCTGTTATATTTAGGCTGTTGAGTGAATTTTGGGCTTGTTGGTACATTAAAAGTACGTTAGGCTGCCAATTGGTTTCAGTATGTAGAATACTTTGCAAATAATGTGTTCCTTTGACTTTGTGCAGCATATGAACTTTCGAAGAAAGAAGGTAAAGTTGGAACTCCAGAAAGACCCCTTTCTGACCTAGGTATGCTAAGCTACCGAGGATACTGGACTCGTGTTCTCCTGGACATATTGAAAAAGCATAAAGGCAACATTTCTATCAAGGTTAGTCTACCAGTGAGAGTAGTATTTCTTCTTATCTGTTTGCCGATGGTTAGTAACCATAGAAGTACACTTTGCGCGTAGATGAGGTTTGGATGCTAAGAAAAGAAACAGGGCAGCATGCCCCATCCATTTAGTAACTAACTAAGACACAACGATTGCTGCCCAAAATACTGAATAGGATTATTTCTTTAATTAAAAAAAATTGGACGGTTTGCAGGAGCTGAGTGATATGACTGCAATCAAGGCAGAAGACATTCTAAGCACCCTTCAGGCACTGGAGCTAATTCAGTACCGCAAGGGGCAGCACGTCATCTGTGCAGACCCAAAGGTCTTAGATCGGCATCTAAAGGCTGCTGGCCGAGGTGGTTTGGAGGTGGACGTTAGCAAACTGATATGGACTCCTTATAAAGAGCAGAGCTGATTTTCAAATTACCCACTTCCCTTTTGCACACCTGTCTTTCCTCCTTCCTTTGAATATGTGTACAGAAGTCATGGTAATTAACATACAGACTTGGGTCAACAATGTTAGCTGTAACTTCTAATTCCACTATCTGGCCTCAAATGACATACGACCTGTGGTATATAGTCCCTTCATCCTAAATTATTTTCTCTTTTCGAACGTGTAAAATGAATCTTTTTTGTGAAAGATCTCAAATGCTCTTTTTTTATCTGGAAAAAGATCTTCCTATTGCCTTTTTAAACATTTGAAATACTACAACTATCACCTTACCCAATATTCTACCCACTTAAATAAAGAGTAATCTGGTAGACTTTTAATTTTTTACCTTTAGAAATTGTGAAAAGTCCACCTGGGAAGTTCTTTCTCAGATAGGAGTATTTAAAAATTAGAAAAAAAATCAAGTTGTGACATGTTTATTTTAACAAATGATCAATTAAAAGTAATGTGCACGGTACCGATCTGGTATGGTTCAAATTTTGAATCCCGGTTCTCGGTAGCATTAGGGAAGGTGCTATTGGTCGTTGGTGGCACGGTTTGCTTTCAGTTCACGATATTGGTTCGGTATTTTTTCAAATTTTACTCCCTCTGTCTCACTTGAATCTCTTTACAACAGTATTCATAGGGTCAAATTTTATATACTTTATTTTCCTATTTTTGTTACTCATTTTATAAAATAACATAATAATGTCACTTTTAGTTTTATAGATTTTATGATGAAATTTTTAATAGACAATTTTTACGGAGTATCTTTTAATTTTATACCTACAATCAAATAAATTGAATTGAGAATAAAGTTGGTCAAGTATCATGATGCGGATTGGAAAGATTCAAATGGGACGGAGGGAGTATGTTTTAATGTTGTATTTTAGTTTTTAATAGTGTAACATTTATAAAGAAATGTAAAAGGGTAAAAATGAAGTAACCAAGTAAAATAAAATTTTCAAATTTTAAAAATATTAAATATGTAAGTTGATACTTGATAGTTTATACTTTTGAATTTACAATGTTAAATATAAAGTGAAATTAGGTAATTGTTTTTAAAAAAATTGGATGAAATATATTACTGTAATTGGAACTTCGTCGCTTCCCTCTCTTGTTGTTGCATCCATGAAGTGTTCTTGATCAACAGTGTAACTTGCTTCTTAACATCAACGTCAGGCTCATAACCAATCTCGATTGCAAACAAACTTCTCAGTGATCAGACACACAGTTGGTAGTTGGTACGGTAGTCACTCAATGTATTACTGCTCGAACTGAACTCCTACTCCATTGCAATGGTTGGAACAAGCATTGAAAGGATTTGTTTCACAAACGTGGCCATGATAGGGAACAAAAGATGTTGAGCTTTCCACCATTCAAGCACGTCAAACTTTATATTTTTATCATACTCACAAGAAATTGTTAGTTACTAAGAAAGCTCTTTAAGCG